GAGATACATGAAAACTGAAGGATTGCTGGATCAATGATTTCCCCTTTCCTATTTGCATGCTTGACATTTGCCTAACTCAATTGCATGTTCTTGGAAGATCTTAGTGCCTTCATTAATTGTAGGCTTCCACTAATTTCAATCACAAGCAGCAGTTTCCCACTTGGCATCTGTGTTATAAAATAAAATAAGACATATCTCAGCTGATTTGCAGGCAAATAAACTAATATACTCAAGAGCAAGAGCCGGATGTGAACGGGACAACGCCCCATCACAAAATGACCATTATCACCGTTTACGCATAAGCCCGATGCACGAGTTCTGGTCGAAAAATAAAATAATATTTTAAAGTGTTTCTATTTTTTGACCAATAAAAATGCTTCTCTCCTAATTATACTTGTGTCGTTTTTCGAGACTGTTAAACCATAAAAAACGCCATAAAAGGGGTCACACGGGGAAGTACAACAGCAGTCAACAGGAGGCCAAGGAAGAGACCTGTCATGGTCAGTCAGCAGCAGTCAGCAGGAGGAGCGCCACACCAACCAGTGAGAACTACTACGAGAGATCAACCCAGATCTGCAGCCGGCCTATGAACTATACCACAAGGTAAATGTCCCAAAACCACACGTTCCTATTGAAATAAATCATGTAAATCTATTTCTGCTGGTGTCGTATTTCTTTCTTGCAACCATATGCTTGTCTATAACATTTGCAAGAGACACTTTTAACCAATCCTTGAAGACTTTCTTTGGTTTATGCTGGAGTGGAATGTTGTAGAGCATTTCTTTGAGTACTCTGCTAACATCAAGGCAATTGACATAGACTACCCAGTGAAGCCTGTGGTAATGAATATGTGCTTTGATGCTGATTACACCAACCTTTTCAAGAACCAGAGTGGATTTAAAAAAAATGATCTTAAACAGCATTTGTGGAATCTCTCCAGACTGGCTAAGTGTCTATGGTACACACCTCATGTCTCACTGAGTATAGTAGGCATGTTAGCACATGGGCATTGAAGACTGCCATTGTAGAATCCTAATTCTACATCTTTACAACTTACTAAAAATAGCTTGTTCAATTTCTGTGCAAAAAGTGGATCACAGCAATGTTTTGAACAGATCCATCTTCACACATATTTTTTTCGAATATTCAAGTTCTAATTGCTCAACAAACATACAAGTGGTTGTTGCTATCCACCCACACACAAGTTCTATTTTTTTCATCATGTGATCAAGTTAAAATTTTTAGCACCAATTTCTCTGGAGACTACCCAATAAATAAATACAGAACACTAACTCACTTTGCCAATGAGCATTGTGACTTTAAACTATTTGCAACACGAATCTATGTCACTTCATCTGAAGTTTTCAAAGTTACTTGCGAACATAAAACAAACTTCCAGAAACTTCACTCACTCATTAATTCATACACCCAGCAGCTCATAATCATTCCTGCTAGTGAATAAACATTGCAACAACAAAATCATCTTCTGAACTTTCATGTACATTCCAATTTCAAGTTTCATCAAGAGCAGTCAAAGGAAGACAACTTTATTCAAACTAAATTTACACAAATTTAATGTGAATTTTATTATTTGATACAAACTATTTCATTTTCTTATCAACAGTTTATTACTACAATCTTACTTTGTGAAACTTTCATCACAAATTTTGCAACAGTTAAATTCACAAGCATCATTCACATACACTGTTCAATATTAATCAAGCTAACAAACAATATGAGATTTCAATCAAAAAATCTATGCTTATTACAATACATATTGTAATCTTCATACAATATGAATAAAAATTGTTTGTTTTTCAATATAAATGTTTTTGTCTTTTCTCAGTATTATTCTATGCTTTTCTGCAATGTAACAATTTAAGAAATACTAATCAAAAATAGACAAGTTTCATCTAAAATATTTGAATATACAGCAGTTACCTCCCTTGAATATATTTAACATCAAAAATGAAAGTACAAGCAGGCTTTGGCCACTCACTATCGCTTTGCAAAGTAAGATATATTCACTACTTGAAATCTTTGAAACATTTGTATTCATTATAGCTAAACATTAGAATTTTAGCCATTTTTAAACAAATGAAACATGGGGAAACTGAAGAACATTTATCAGGATACATGTATTTACATGAGTGAAAAACACAGTGGTACAAAACATTGAAACCAAAATGAATAATAGAAAACACATGCCAAAAAAAAAAAGGTTTTGCTTGAAGTAAGTCCAGTGGAAATTAATATCAAGAAGAAAAAAAAATAGAAATTAGTAGACATTTAACTGGTAATTGTGAATGGATTTGTGGTAATTATCATCACCATCGAACTCTTAACTCTTCTTACCAACTTTATCAATTCACATTTCCTAACATGCAACAGGAACTATATTCTTCTAAAACTTCAGTTTAATAATTACTTCATCTTTATGAGTTCTGGTACAAATATTTCCAAATCTAAGAGACATAACTCATTCAAACCTTCAGCTTATATGCATGTACATCAACACTAATAAATTCAATTGTCATGTTTTGTTTCTGTCTTGTATTTTATACTATGTGCTATTTTACATCAAATATGAATTGCATTCTGACCGCTACATGTTTGGTAACCTCCAGCATCTTTGCTTGTCCTTTTCCACGTCATTCCCAGTCAAAGATTAATAATTGTGGTGATGCGCGCTACAGATTTCTAATTAAAATTAAAAGAAGAGGACAATCATTTAATAGAAGATATTTTAAGCAGTGTATGCAAATTAGTCATTAGTTTATTTGTGTTAAGACTTTTTTAAAAATAAATAAATTAAAAAGGAAGCATTTTTATATTTTCTTTCAGGGGGTGGGGACGTCTGTGTATGAAATATTGTTTGCTTTTTTTTCTTGTTCTACATACTCAGAAAAATCCATTTTGGTAGAATGTAGTTTGTCAAATTTCCACACTATAACTTCTGTAAAAAAAGTAGCTAATTATGGATGCTAGATAAACTGATGTTTACCTTAGAAAATAACCTGGTAATTTTTCTAGGGAAAATTAGTTGTTTTTTGAAACTGTTGAAATTTGTGCTGTTTGCTAATTACAGTTACAACGAAACTTAATTTAAGACAAAAGAAATACTAATCAAAAATAGACAAGTTTCACCTAAAATATTTGAATATACAGCAGTTAAGCAGTTAAGATTAATGTTCACTATTTATGAAATGTTGAATGGGTTGTGGAAGTTCAATATATTTGTTCAAAGAATATGACTGTAAAGACAGAAATTAATTAGTCAGGTGTGGGGGCAGGCTTGTTATAGTTAAGGAAAGTTTTACAAATTATAGATGCCAACTTGCTGAAAGCCAAGTAAAATGTTAATTTCAAACACTTTTCTGCACTATATAAGACAATATTCATAAATAGAACTATTTTTTTATATGAAAATCAAAACAATCCTTGAATAAAAAAACAGGAATGAAAGGCTGTTAAAATATACTTTTTTAAAATCAATATGTAAATTAATTAAGCGTAAAAAGTGATATTGCCTAGAAGTAGATAATATATAACACAGATATTGAGCTTCTAGTGTGTAAACTTTGTAACATGTTTATTTATCATCGCTCAGTTGCATCTGTCTTTGGGCAGAGTGCGCTCAGAGGCAGCTCCGTCAAAGGGCAGTTGTAACTGAGGAAAATTATACCAAGAGGTGTCCAACCCTGGGGAACAGCTACCTGAGGCCATGCCTTCTCATTGCACCAGAAAGAGGGATTGGTGTTCACACCAAGGCCTGATGGTTTTGGGGCTTGGGGGATTTTTGTTCTTAGCCCAGGTGTACGTGCTTGGGCTCCCCACATTAAACCAACCTTGTGTCACAACACGACTTGGGGGGGAGGGGGGAGTAAATACCAAATTACTATAAAGTAGAGTTCACACGTTTATTTATCATCTCAGTTGCGTCTCTGTCTTTGGGCAGAATGCAACTCAGTTACGGCTCAGTCAGAGGACAGAGGTGCTACTGAGTAAAATTACACTGTGAGGTGCTCATCCCTGGGGCACAAATGCCCGAGGATGCACCCTCTCATTGCACCAGAGAGAGTGATCAGTTCTTGCATCAAGATGGTTGCGGTGGTTTGGGGAATTTTTGTCCTTATCCCAAGTGTATGCACTCGGGTTCCCCACATTAAACTGAATTTGTGTCACAACCTGACTCTGTGAGGGTCAAGAAATATCTACTATAGAGTAGAGTTGGGCCTTTTAACCTCAGAATTCATGGAAGGATTGAGCTCCAATTTCGCATTTATTCATATAGGTTATTTCCAGTAAGTTATTTTTGCTTATGTGAAAGTCACACATTAAAGTAACTAAATTGGTGATTCCAATGTATAAGTAAATGTCTAAATATTTTTCATATATTGATTATTGCCCACCTTTTGTACTGTTTTTTAATCTCATGTCTTCATTCAATAGATATCAACCCCAACTGCTCTAATTATGAAACTTCATTCAGCAAAATATTTCCACATTTAACACATTTCATCATTCATAAAACCATTTTCATAAGTGACACATATCCTGTTTTCATATATGAATTGCATTTCATCAATATAAAAATAAATAAGCAAAATGTTTTTTAATGAAAAAGCTAATTGATAAACAAACTACTTTTAATGAAAAAACAGGACAATATTAGGACAAAAAGCAAAACATCAAAATAAGGATGGAAGCAGCATGAAGGTTTCTAGCAAAAAGAGCCTATTTATGACATGAAAGGCTACAACAGTGATAACAGAAATAGGCATTTAACTAAATATATGTTTTTGTGTTTACATGTGTATATATCAGCAGATATCTAAAGATGAAAGGGCAAGTCTTTACAAACTGGGTATCTACTATTTATAAAGGACAAGAAAGATAGGTCATAAGATAAAACTAAGCTAACCAAATGATTATAACATTGATAGTTAAGAAAAAAATGTATACTTTTGTAGGTAATTTAAACATAACAAAATAATTACCTATCTGCAGGGCCTGGTACATCGTCATTTCCTGGTCTGGAAACATAATCATAAGCTGGGGGCATCATACTGCCCTCCCTGTTACTGGGGTCCAAAGTATAGGGTTCTGTGTGGAGTACATGTGCGTTGTTGTTACTCTGTAAAGAAGCAGACAAACATTTATTGTTTAAAATAGAAACAGTGTATAAACAAGATAATAGGGAGCATTTTATATATTACCCGAGATTAAAGGGAAACAGAAACAATAAAATAAAAAATAAATAATGGTTTTTTTAAAATTAGGCTAAATTAAGTGCCTAAATTAAAAAAATATTAATTTTTTATTTTTTTTTTGTATTGTCCAACAAAATACCTGCAAGAATTATTTTGTGAATATAGAACTTAAAATGTATAAAAAGCAAAATCAGAAATTTAGAAAGCAAAATAATGAACTAGCAATTATATACTGTAAATTTACATACACACACACACATATATATATATATATATATATATATATATATATATATATATAAAAATGTGTGTACACATATGTCTATATATATTTTTCATCTTCTTTCACATATTGTTATATTTGTACTCGTGTATGTGTACTAATATGTATATAAGTATATATAAGATATTTATATATATTTATGTGTTTAGGAGTTTTCTTTTTTATATATTAGGTGGGGTTATTTTTATGCATATATATGTAATTTTTTATCCATTTCTATATATTTTAGTGTCCTTTTTCCTTATGTTGTTCATTGATGAATATTTGTTTTTCTATTCTACCCATATTAAACCTTATCTATTCAAACATTTTTATTAGGTACTTCCATGAGATCGCTAAAAAAAGAGCATAGCATGATGAAAAAGACACTAAACTTGACGAAAACAAAATTTTATCATCTAAATGCTTATGTTATTGTTAAGAGGAAAGACCAAAGTTTTTTTTAATTATTTCTTAAAATTTTTCCTTCTTTTAAGAACATTAAATTTTGATTTTTAAAAAACCTTGTTTCTCTTTGTATCACCGGAACTAGTAAAATAACATATTTTAGCAATTTTTTTTTTTTTTTTTTTTTTTATGACACACATTAATTTGGAAAATCTTGCAAAAATAAAAAATAATTGTCGGATGTTAATGAAACTTTCAGAAACTATTCACAGATGATCAAAATTATTATAAATATGTTTTTTTTTTTTTTTTAAAGTCATGGCAGAAATATTTTTTTTTTATATTTATTACCCCCCATAACTAATTTTATGAAAAAATCTAGAAATTTGATTTTATCAGGTTTAGTGATTACAATAGTTAAAAAGCACAGGCTTTGAGGAATGCAAATCATGTTTTTTTTTTTTTAATTGGATCCCCCCCCCCTGAAAATCAGCTCTGAATTGTAAATACAAAACTCAATAAAACAAATATATTATTTAATTTCAAATGCTTTTTATTTGCTTTTAGTTGTTTTTAAATATGGACAATATTTTCTGAAAACAAAAAAATTTTCAATGAAAAATGAATTTTTAATACAATTATTTGTTATTTCTTTAATTAAAATAGATTTTTTACATTTAAGTTGTTAAAATATTATAAAATTAGTTAAAAAGCCCCATCAGGTTTCCTAAATGTCCTTATGAGATAGATCTTTTTTTTTAGCGCGTTGTAAATTGTATCATTTTGACTAATCAGAAGATCCGCAGTAATTAAGAAATCTAATTTTGTGTTTATAATCAGGCTGTAATTATAAAGTACGGAAGACCAACCAGAATACAATTAAGTTGCGTTATTTGAGTTAAGCATTGTTCTCCGCTGTTAAGGCCTTTACTTTTGTGAAACACGGGTGGAGAAGTTAATTTGATTTTTCAATTTCAACTGAGAAAGGTACCTACAAGTATCAGTATCAACTTATGAAATTTATATGATCTTATTTTTATATTAATTTCAGTTATGACATTTTTCCATAAATGAAATATCAAAATTAATAATAAAATGAATGGAAAATACAAATAACACAGTAAAATGTAATAAATGTACATAAAATTATAGTATTTTATGTACACTTCTGATAAAATTTCATAAGAAAGGTACCTATAAATTAATTAGATACCTTTCTTATGAAATTTAATCTCACTCTTAACAGTCTTATTTTAATTTCTTTTATAATATATTTTCCATAAAAGCATCATAAACGTAAAGGTGAAAGCTAAGTACAAAAAAAAAAAAAAAAAAAAATTAGAGGGCTGAAAAGTTTTCCTTAAAAATAATGAGGTAAATAATTTGTTCACTTAAATCTAAATAATTTCACTTTTCTCCTTCCGTAGAACAAATTACGATCTCACGGAATCACGTCAATATGTCATTCATCACCTGTCAAGTGACGCAAAAGTTTATGACCTGTTTTGTTTTATTTTTTTACATCTTTTCGGCACAGAAGCTAAGTTAACCTTGGTTCAAAATATTTTAAATAAACATTATAATTTCTGATTTTCTTAAAATAAGTTTTGAAAAAATGATAATTGATTTTTAAAGAATTTCAAAGTGAGATTTTCATTTTTTTATAAAATGGAAAAAAATGGATGCCATGATCAATTATTATAAATTTTGACTCAAAAAAAAAAAGATTTTTAATGAAAATTTTGGACGTGCTAGGAATGATTAAAAATGTAAAAAAATATCCTAAAAGTACTTTTATCTTTCCTTTTAATAATAACATGAACATTTAGACGATAAAATTTTGTTTTTGTCAAGTTTGGTGTCTTTTTCATCATTTTAGGGATCTCATGGAGGTACCTAATTTTTATCTATATATTATTTTGCAGTATAAGTTATTATTTTAATAGTATGTTAAAATTCATTTCATAACACTTTCAAATTTGAATATTTCCTTGGTTTTTTATATGGTGCATAATTTTATCAATGTATGTGTATATAAAAAATTTATGTGTGCCTTTCATTTTAAAAACATTTTTTGTCATTTTTTTTTTTAATGGCCCTGACATATTTCCTGTCTTGTCGCTTTTTTTAAAATTTTATATATCTAAATATGTCTCTGTGTTTTGTGTATTATAATTGATTGTGTCTGTTATTATAATCTGATTTGTCTGTATTGTCTTCTGTAAGATTTCAATTTCCATACCACATCTTTATAATTCAAATGTATCTAAATTGTAAACGGAAATCAGAGATTTTTTTAGATCTTAACGTTTATTCCAACTTAATTACAATAAAAACAAAATAAATAAAAAAAAACACATATTTTTCCCTCAGTTTCTTCTTTAAATAATTTTATAATTTTAAACTTAATATAGATTAAATTTAAAATTGGTAATCTTGAATTTGAATTTTATAGTGTAATTTAATATTTATTAGTTAGAATGAATTCAATTTTAGTCTAACCCTAACATTAAAGCATTAAATAATTACTATAACCAAAGTTTGTTGCCAAGTTTTTTTGAATTTTCATATACTTGTATTTTGATTGGTCATTCCAGCTTATGTAACTGCATTTCCCCTAGTGAGAGATTAACATATTAGTTACTTTCGGAAAGAGGTTAAGAGTGTCTATTTTTAAGCAAATGATGACATCATTTTGAAGCATATTGTCTGGTCTGTTTCAACGACAGAGAGTTGTTGGCATTATTATTAATTATTCTAAATTTTTATTTGTATACCTTAAAATTTTTTTTTTTAAAAAAGGGTTGTTTGTATATAAATATTATCGTTATTGAACTGCAAAAATTTTTTTTGACATTTAATTTAAAGGGTTTTGTATCTTATAATTGGGTTGAGCTTTTAAACCATTTACTTGAAATTGAAATTGTTTATAGACTAAGAAATTTAAAAATTTTTAAGCTAATTATTTAAGGCAAAGATTTGTTGATGTCGGCAAAAAAAACATTAACTCATTTCTATGATTTAATAAATTTTCAATTTTTAGAAACTTAATAATGTGTAGTTTTTCGTGTAGGCATAAAGGGCATGGGTCATCCCAGGTTTTACAAGTTCTTGTTCTATTTATTATTTTCCATTTTACTTTTGGTATTTTATTCGTTTCTTTTAAATGTCAAAAATATTTGGATAGGGATGGCTGATTTCTATTTCTAATATTATTGAAGGAGCTTTTGTGTTGTATCCATCTAATTTTAAATTCATCCTTCATGGATCCTATATATATCCTTTTTTTTGTTATGACCCTCAATGGATGAGATTGTGCATTGGTATACCACAGATTTTATGCTGATAAATTTTTTTCAATCAATATTCATTTTTTCTACATTTTTTTTTTTTTTTTTCTAATTTAGTTTAGGGTTTTTATTAATATTTTTTGGCATGCATGTTTTTTCCCAGGATTTTATTATTGTTTTTTTTTATGATTTTTTTTCAGATTTTCAGTTGCAGCTGTAACTTAATTTTGAGGTGTTTTTATAAAAAGATATTTGCTAAGTTTGCTATTTAGTAGGAAAATATATTTTTTCAATTAAAAGCTAGGAATTTTTTGTCTTTAGTTTAATACTAACCATTTGGTTGAATTTTGGGGTATAAAAATGATTTTTTTTTTTTTTAAATTTTTTTCTTTTTTTAGTCCTATTGTTTCTATAATTAATGTTAGCGATTTTTTGTATTGACTATTTTTTAGAGCTCTGTTAAAAAAAACTATGTTGTTGGAAGATTTCTTCATTTCAGAATCATGCTGATTCTTTTCTCTATTGAAATAGGTATATGCTTAATTATAGATGGAGGGTGGTTTGACCTAGGGTTACATATATAATTAATGTTAGGTTTTTTTAAGATAGGTATATGAAAATTGTTCATTAAGTCCAGATTAATCAAGGAAGTTTACCCTTTTTTTTTTTATACAAACTGTTGTTTTTAAATTTAGTTTTCTGAATTTAAATATATTATCTTTCTAATTTTATCTATTTTAAAATTTGTGGAACTTTCACTACCATGAGCCAAATTAATCATCCCTGTATAATTGAATGTCCTTAATGTCCTAAATTATAGTGCATTATTAACAATAAGTTAAATATACAAAAGATCATAAACAAAGAGTCAAAAGATCCCATGGTGATGTCAAAATGGTTTTAGTGTTTTTTTAATTCATTGATCCCCATTATGAATGAGGACAGATTTTTTGCACTAAGAATT